AGGGGGAGCTCCGCATATATGCTTAGGTCGAGATTCCTCGCAGCATTTCTCCGTTGTTCCTCCTGAGACTGCCTCTTGTCGGTAGACTGTCGAGGCCTGGCGGAAAAATATCGCTGACTGCGTAGTGGAGAGAAAAGATAGGACGAGCACGGAGAAAGTGGCAACACTCCGAGTCGAAGCCCCCGAAACCATGGGTCTGGGGAAAAAACGGAATCAGCGTCCTAAACGAGTCTGCCTGGAAATTCATGCCTCTGTAAAGGGGAATGGATCAGGGGAATTTAATTGAATCGAAAAGAACGAACTTCGAGAGTCGGAATTGCTAAAGGATTAACTGCTCCCCTGATTGCAGTCAGGAGTCTAAGGTGACCTCCAATCCATTTGCTCGGTTGGAGAAGAAGGATCGATCGAGGAAACAAGAGGCCTCGTCCTCGAAGAAGTCGGCTCTGGACGAGATAATGATCGAGGAAGCTCGACGCAAGCGAAAGCGCAACGATCACTGGCTCCACCCCGGGATCGTGGTGAAAGTCATCACTAAGAATGCTGGGGAGCAATACTACAAGCAGAAGGGTGTTGTGGAGGTGAGTGAAATCAGTCCGGTGAGGCGGAGGTTTGTGCTTGACGGAGCAGATACGGTCCACGTATATTCTTCACCGGCTGCACGTCAGGCTTGCAATGTCGGAGCCCATGAATAATCGCCCTATTCGAATCCTCTCTCCATTCATTCCAGGAAGTTGTCGATAGGTACGGTGCTCTCGTGAGACTCATCGAGAGCGGCGTGAAACTCAAGCTCGATCAAGTTCATTGCGAAACGGTCATACCATCTGCTGGACGCAAAGTAAAAATTGTTAATGGCCCCTACAACGGCCAGGAAGCGACGCTCCAGGATATTGATGTAGACAGATATTGTGCCACCCTCAAGCTCAAGACGGGGGTCGTTGAGAAAGGAGTAGAACACGAAGACTTTTCGAAACTAAGCGCATAGCTAGTGGCAGGCTCATTCCTGTAAATAAGTGCTTTTCTACAGCCAATGTTGATGGATGCGTGACATCTTCGACTAGCCGTACTTTGTGATCAGGATGCCAGCGAACGATGTCAGATAAATTGGATCGCAAACGCTCAAATGGAGTAGCGTCCGCCAGTATAGCTCTGATCAACGTCCCGTTGCGCCCGTTAATCGATGCGAGCCCTGAACCGAAAGCCCGAAGTCCTCTCCTCATTCGGGACTGATCGATCAAGGCTTTCGCAGACGCCTGAAATATATTCCATACTGTACAATGCTGTACTGGTATGGGTTTATATAATCATTAATTATTATAAACGCAGTTTTAGTCGAAGACCTCGATGATTTCGAAGAAATGCATTTTTAGTTCTAGTATAGATGCTATCTACCACAACTCCGCAGCAATGACTTATCACGCAGAGAGCGAGCCCCACGGAGAGAGAACGTGTCATTTACACATATGATTTCCGCGTTTTGAGCTTTGATTCGATGTTCCTTCGTCGAGGAATGGTCGGATCCCCAGAACGTCCTCAATCTCGACTCAACATTTTTTTTATACCCGACGCCGCGCTGGTGTTCTCTCACGAGAACCTCCAGATGCTCTTCGCCTCTGCTTAGATTCGGGCGCCAAGCCGGACACGCGTAGGATCGGCCGGACTATAAGATGGAGAGCTGGACGTCCGGCGATGGCGTTTTCATTATGAATGATCGGAGGAAGTGCTTCTCACGGATGAAATCTCTCCTCACTGCATCGGTTGTGTGAGTGCTGTAAATCATGTCTTGAGCGCGTTCGGCTGGAAAGCACACACACCCCTGAGCAGAGAGCCGGAGATGCATTTCAGAGCACTATCTCTCGAATCGCCGGTTGGTTTTCCGGGGCCCGGAAAGTTGAGCAGAATCAGCGCGGACTATCGGGATTCCATGTGCACTCGAAGCTTCTTGACACGATGCTCAGTTCATTAAGACGCCCACTCCGATCGACAGGTTCTCTCGTAATCAGTCGTCCCTCCTAGCTATGGTCACGAAGTCGGCTTCAAGAAATCAGATAAATACAGAGACATAGCTTCGATCTTTTTCCAGACTGGATTTTGGATATTGAAAACTGAAGCTCAGACAACAGCCAGGGGACCCCATTTGGACTCGAGCCAACGGAAGTTCCCATTTACATTTTTCTAGACTCTATACATATGTACAAGTTGGACCATCCTATCGCGACGAACTCAGAAAACGGCGGATTCCTCTAAGGCGTCGTCATCCGGGTCGAGGAAGTTTTCGCCATTGTCAAAGTACGTATCCGCGTAGTCGTCGTCCACGCCTTCGTCTGCGTCGTCTTCATTGTTCTGCCCTTCTTCGTCCTCGGCCTCCTCCTCATTTTCACCTTTCTCCTCGTCGTGATCTTTATCCTCCGATAAAACTTTGTCCAAATTGATATCTGAAACAGCCATGACTCCGGGAGTTAGTCGAGAAAATCTCGAGTTGATGTGCACGCATCTATCCGAATGAGCCATTGAAATGTTCCTGAGGTGAACTACGGAGCAGCCTTTTGTCTTACCTTTGGCCTTCTTCACGACTTTTTCTTGGTCTTCGTCGTGAGGACGGCAGGGACGAGTTCCATTCGATAATCGTATTTTCTCTCTGACATTCCGTAATCTAACTGATCGGAATACCTCTCTATGGCTGGTTTCTCTTCAGCGAGGCGTACATGGAAGGCGTCTTCTCGAATTTCTGTCCGTAGTCTATCGTAAATGGTGGCAATCGTTTTCATTTCCTAGGAGTGAAACAATCGGCTTGAGTTCATCGAGAAACATAATTCTACAGCTGATTTGTCGACGTCCACGGGTGTATTCGTCGCGCAAATGATAATTTCAGATATAAACATGAAAGGATTACAGAATTGGTGAGTCGGTGAGGGTCAATATGAAGAATTCGAAGAACTTGAAATTCCGAAACCGCCGATAAATAAGCCACTCGGGGAGTGAGCTCGATAATCACGACGCATTCGTCATATTGTCAACGGAGAATGCTGAAAGCCGAATCCTGAAAGAGATTGCAAGGCAAGCGACTGAATGGAAAGAGCTCAGTTTTATCAACTCCGATTGAAAAAACGATATCACGTCCGAAGACCAAGCTCGAGCTTCAGTGACCCGATTCGCGAGCGACCTAAACCGGTTTCACTAAAACAGCTCACGGAAAAAAAGATTCCCAAGCCGGGAATCAACACACTGAGGACTTCAATTCTCACAACCACGAATGGACATCAAACCAACCGAGTTGGTCATGCCATAACAACAATCATTACCCTGCCTGATTCTGCAAAGAATGTCAGAATTTGAATGGCACCATGGATAGCTTCAATAATGTGGGATATAAGCTGATAGCCGCGGTGCAACGCGGCAAGGTACGCTATATTGAATAATATAGATGGATAACACCCGACCATTTCCCAGAGGAACACTAAAAACTCCGACAACCTGAGATTCTGTCAATTTAGCGAGTTATCATGAATTACGGTAATCATAGCCACCGGGCTCCCGAGCGGCTGCCGCCTTTCCACAACCCACCATCTCCGCCAACGATATCGACAACTTCCGTGAAGGTTCCATGGAGAAATTCCAGACCGATTGGGCAGCGGCATAAAATTTTGGATGCCGGCGCGAACGAAGCCAGTCGAGGACGCGAGCCGGGACCTGAGGCCGTATAATGGCTCTGGTGCGCGGATTGCTCACCCACTCCGAGGACCGGAATCGTGCCGCGGTGAATGAGAACCATACAAGGAGCGCGAGCCTGTACGTCCTCCTTGGAGCGCTTCCTTGATCAAGGAAGCGTGTGTCCTAGGGATAAGGGACTAATTGTGTGCGTCCGTATCGTAGACCCTCTTCACGGCAGAATCCATATCCATTCAGGACGTCGAGGATTGAAGGCGAAATCCATCTCTTATATCGCCCCGGATGTTGCCGACACCGGGCTAGCCGGAGCTCTGGTCGGGTCTTGATTTTCCGCTTCTGCGGAGAATAAAGCGCGTTGTGATTCATGGAGCCTGATCTATTCCGCTTCGATGCGGAGGAGACTCATCGGACCTGCGAAGAGACGGCGACGCATTGCGATTCAAGCAATGCAGTCTTGATCTCGGACCTTCGCGTTTTCAAAAAATTGATGAGTTCCGCTGATGAGACAAGAGTACCTCCTCGCGAATGGCGATAAAATTCAACGGGAATCAATTCGTCATGGGTGATGTAAATCCTCGAGGCCGCAATGCTCGGAAACTGTTGGAGCCGAATCCACAGCGGTCTACCCCGACTCCGTGACAATGGAAAGCCGGCATCATTTCGTACATTCCTTCGCACTGTAAGTCAGCATTCGACTGAATTAGGGAAGAAATAGCAGCGGGATGTGACAAGAGAGAACTATCAATCGGAGAGCTTTTCCGCGGAGAGCAATCGCCTCGGAAGAACATAAGCTCATTCCGACCCGATATCCTACTAGCGAATGGCCTGTGTTCAGAGGATGCTGGACATCACCAGTAGCTTATATGTATAAGGGGGGACGAGGGGGCCATGCCCCCACAGCTCTTTGGGGATCATTATCATTCTGCCACCCCCTCCCCTCGAAAACATTGCTGGCCCCTCCCAAAAAAAAACCTTCATACGCCCCTGTATACTACATAATATGAAGCGAAGCGTGCGGCCGCAGCGCACCGATCCAGCGTTGGTAGCGTTGATAGATGCGGAAGTTTGAGAAGAGTAGTTTTCCGCGAGAGAACGGGGGGTTGAGCTCTCAGAATGATATCAGTGCAGGCGGGATAAGGCGGCGAAAGTCTCACCACGTCTCGGCCTGAACTTACTTTGCTCGATGAATTCGATCGGCGAAATCCTCCCCGCATCAAGCTCAGCCCAAAACAGGCGAAGCTTCTGCGCGTGGACTCGGGTAGGGCGATTCGGCGCTGATCGAATATTTTGGATGCCCCGCTCGCTAATGCTTTCAGATCGATCGGCACATCTTGAGCCATTCCGCACAAAACCTCTGGAAATCTGAGCTAATGTCTTACCTTCATCTCAGCCCGATAAGAAGAGTTCCTCAGAAGAAGAGGGGCATGGGGGGAGGGGGGTAAAATCCAGTTTCGCCTATGGAGACGGGGCCAACAGATGACGCGCCTCCCTCTGTCCTATTCTTTAAGATAAGGACGGGAGGCTATCTAGGGGGCCATGGTCCCACTATCCCTCTCCCCCAGAGCACGCCTATGAGTGAGAGAGACTGCCAAGTGAAGGATACGCACGCATCAGATCCCATACTCGAGGGTCGGCGCCCAGTTCCCTCTTAAGTGAAGCGTTATCACTTTCTACCGCATTGTTTGTGTTCACAGGAGCTCTATAAAGCGAGAGGCGAGCCGCCCCGATACGTTGAAGCCACTCATTGCCAACGAAATCCACGAAAGTTTGGAGCTGGGAAAAATAATTTCAGCATTAGAGTATTGCGGGAGAATTCGATAATATATCGTCCAGGAGTACTCGGCGAGCTCACGCACCCGGGGTCGATGGCGACAGCTTCGCGGGCGTAATGTTCGAACGTATAATCGATTTGTCCCGGCGGAAGGTAAGGGAGCACAGAGAAAGCAAGGAAACATGCGCGCACTGGTCCAGGGCGCTTGATTTCACGAGCGGGGCCGACAGCCGGAGAGGAGCTCCGCTTCACTAGGCTCTGAGTATAGTGAAATAGGCATCCGTAGATGCGCGCAATACCTCCGCGTATGCCTGCGTGGTGGCTGCCTTCATGAAAGCGAATGCTACCATGCCCTCCTATGAGGAGGAGCCGCCGGTTTTCGTTCCCATTCTGATGAAGAACACTTATGAGGGAAAGAATGGAGTCCGGATATAGATACCTACGAAGCCATCCCCCCAACTACTATGCATGGTGAACAGCTGGCGGCATAGACCCCGCGGAACAATCTTGCCGCGTCCGCGTGAGGCACTGAGACCGTCGGGAGGCGGGCGATCAGACATCTCGTGAAGACCAACAGACTATCGAAGTCGCTGCATCTAACGCTCACAAGTAATTCCCGATGGTGAGAAACTTGAGAGCTCTCAATCCGAAACCATTCGTGCATCCGTCAAGATCCGTCACATTTTTCTGGACAGCGTCCAGAATGACGTAGTTCTACGTCAAAACTTGCGAGAAGTGCTCGGTGAAGATCTCTGAGAAGACGAGACACGCTCTCGTCCTGGGGTCTCGTTTCAGCCAAAAGTATGCTTTCGCGAAGACCCCTCCGATCAACTTCGAGTCCTGAAGTCCCAGGCGGCATTCTTTCTTGTTGCGGACAAGCGTTAAGCACATTGTTCGGAGTGAGGCAACTCAGTCGGCGCGATTCGGTCTTCGGTTGCTTCTGGCGGCTCTTCCGAGTGTGGTCAAGGCCATGTAGCCCTCGTAGTCGAACCAGGATTTAGAGCGCCGTCTGAGTGCCGCCGTCATACTGTGGGTCAAGACGCCAACAATCATCTTGATCACGTCCTCGATAGCTGTTTCCAGGCTCGAAGGTGTGGGCTGCATTGCTCTCGCTGGAGCGAGCAACGAAGTCAAGCATTGTCCTTGAAAGCCCCATCCTCAGTCTGGACTCGGACATCCGGATCTATTATTTGAAAGTCTCAAGCCATTAGAAAGCCTCCAAAATCGAAATTGGCCGATCAACGCCGCAGTGTAAGGGCGTCTTGAGACTCCCGTGGGGAGGTCTTGGCGCGAGAGAATCGACTTAAGGAATCTCTCAGATTGTTCAAGATTCCGATGAGCATCTGATTCGAGCCGCGCATTCAACCCAAAGTCTAATTTATTGATGGGGGAGAGCCTGCACCGCGGCGGGTCTACTCGAACCTCGTTCTGGTGCTGCCCCCACGATCAGGCGAACATTCCAGCGTAATTACCCCAGATGCTCATTTAGAATCAGAGGGTTGATTGAGAAGGGGTCTAGGGGAGAGAGCTTCTCGCACCTCTCGTTCGGTATAAAGATCGTTCGTCAAGCTCATGAGCTATCATTTTCGGTGTCAGCAGCCAACAACACGAGATATCCCTCTGTTTTAGCGGCCGTCTGACGGTGTCCTGTCTCCGAATTCTGTTGATGTGTGTGTGTTGATGTGTTTGCCTTTTGTGTCTTGAATTAGACCCTTTGGGAGAAAGGTGGCTTGAAGATCGCAAGATCTCTGCCCTCGTCTGTGTGCTCATCGCAAGATGGGTAAAGCAGAAGCCGGTACTCCGAAGGCGATAGCCAACAAGATCAAGTCCAAAGGTCTCCAGAAGCTCCGATGGTATTGTCAGATGTGCCAAAAGCAATGTCGAGACGAGGTGAGTTCGAATTCGCGCTAAGTTCTCTAGAATGGAATCCTCTTTTGGAATCAAAGCGGATCGTTCGAAAGTCCTCATCCTGTGTGTTTCTCCCACAGAACGGCTTCAAGTGTCACACTACATCCGAATCACACCAGCGTCAATTGCTGCTCTTTGCGGAGAACCCGGATAAATACTTGGACTCCTTCTCAGAGTAGGTACTACCTACCTGAACATATATTATGTACCTAGACATGACTCGCTCGCCTCAATTAGGAGCTGCTCTAAGGCTGACTGAACTTTTGACCTTATTTACAGAGAGTTCAAGGAAGGCTTTCTGGATATTTTGAAACGTCAATACGGTGGGAAACGAGTACACTCGAATCAGATCTATCAGGAATACATTCGATTCAAAGAGCACGTGCACATGAACTCTACCAAGTGGCTTACTTTGACAACTTTCGTCAAGTGGCTTGGCAAAGAAGGTCAGTGACTTTTTATCCAGCCTGAGCAAATATTCAGGTTTGATAGCACTATGCCGATCAAACTTCTCTGTTCAGAGAAGTCAGAACGTTTTCCCTGAACTTTTCAGGTATATGCGCTGTCGATGAGACCGAGAAGGGATGGTTCGTGACATACATTGACCGGAGCTCGGAGGCCATACTCGCTGATGAGCGTAGGTCAAAAAAGAGGAAGATGGACCTCGATGACGAGGAGAGGCAGAATAAGTTCATCCAGGAACAAATAGATCGACTCAAGGCATCGTCGAATGCGAACGAAGAAGAGAGAGCGGAGGAAGACAAGCGCTTGCTCAGAGAAACCGATGGCGAGAAGCTAGTCATTGCTTTCGGTGGAAGCAAGCCCGCCGGCGAGAAAAGGTGAAATGAATCGCTTTCCGCTTGGAAATGATGATCTGGATCGAAGTCTAAAATCTAGAGGCCGGGCTTGCCGGGTGGAATTTCGGGTCAAGGGGGAGCTCTGCATATTAGGTCGAGATTAGGTATACTGCTTAGGTCGAGATTCCTCGCAGCATTTCTCCGTTGTTCCTCCTGAGACTGCCTCTTGTCGGTAGACTGTCGAGGCCTAGCGGAAAAATATCGCTGACTGCGTAGTGGAGAGAAAAGATAGGACAAGCACGGAGAAAGTGGCAATACTCCGAGCCGAAGCCCTCGAAACCATGGGTCCGGGGAAAAAAGTACGAAATCAGCGTCCTCAACGAGTCTGCCTGGGGATTCATGCCTCTGTAAAGGGGAATGGATCAGGGGAATTTAATTGAATCGAAAAGAGAACTCCGAGAATCGGAATGGCTAAAGGATTATCTGTTCCTCTGATTGCAGCCAGGAGTCTAAGGTGACCTCAAATCCATTCGCTCGGTTGGAGAAGAAGGATCGATCGAGGAAACACGAGGCCTCGTCCTCGAAGAAGTCGGCTCTGGACGAGATAATGATCGAGGAAGCTCGACGCAAGCGAAAGCGCAACGATCACTGGCTCCACCCCGGGATCGTGGTGAAAGTCATCACTAAGAATGCTGGGGAGCAATACTACAAGAAGAAGGGTGTTGTGGAGGTGAGTGAAATCAGTCCGGTCAAGCGGAGGTTTGTGCTTGGCGGAGCAGATACGGTCCACGTATATTCTTCACCGGCTGCACATCAGGCTTGCAATGTCGGAGCCCATGAATAATCGCCCTATCCGAATTCTCTCTCCATTCATTCCAGGAAGTTGTCGATAGGTACGATGCTCTCGTGAGACTCATCGAGAGCGGCGTGAAACTCGAGCTCGATCAAGTTCATTGCGAAACGGTCATACCATCTGCTGGACGCAAAGTAAAAATTGTCAATGGCCCCTACAACGGCCAGGAAGCGACGCTCCAGGATATTGATGTAGACAGATATTGTGCAACCCTCAAGCTCAAGACGGGGGTCGTTGTGAAAGGAGTAGAATACGAAGACTTTTCGAAACTAAGCGCATAGCTAGTGGCATGCTCATTCCTGTAAATAAATGCTTTTCCACAGCCAATGTTGATGGATGCGTGACATCTTCGACTAGCCGTACATTGTGATCAGGATGCCAGCGAACGATGTCAGATAAATTGGATCGCAAACGCTCAAATGGGGTATATATCTATTATATCTATATCTATATATTTAAAAACGTATGTCTGTCTGTCTGTCTGTCTGTCTGTCTGTCTGTCTGTCTGTCTGTCTGTCTGTCCGTCCGTCCGTCCGTCCGGGGTACCCTATAGACTCGAAAACGGCGGAACCCATCGTCGTGAAAATTCAGGAGCGTGTTCTGGGGGATCCAGCGGTGGTTATAGGGGGGTCAGTTCTCCGATGCAATGAGTCCTTCTACCTTAAAAAAAATTTTTGAGTGCTCCGCCCACGGAAATTTGTTGCTTCATTCATTTATTAGTTTATCGGTACTCAGTTCCCGAGCTCCAGGCTCCGCGGAGCTGCACTCAAGGTTACCGCAATCAATCGATTCGATGAAGCTCGTTGATTCGCTATTCGCTCCAAACTCGTGTCGATCAGGCTTGTTCAAGCGCAGTGAAATTCACGTTGCGTCGCGTTCCTCACGAATAGGTAGGTCTCGCTATCGAGAGTTCGAACTTGATGGGAGTTGGCGTAACTCGCTCTGTTTTCGGCGAAGTTTCGTCAGGCCTGATTGAGCCCCGAACGGTTCGAGTCCGACACAGTCACTTCCGACCGTGTTGCCAATCTTCTGCACCAAATTGTTCAGGATTCTGCTCGCTCGCAGGGGATGTCGTGGAGTCAATCGAGCTCCACGAAAAACGCCACACAATGTCTGTTTTGATGGATTGATTTTATTTCGATCTTCCATATGCGTATATATATGGTCCCTTTCATTTCAGGGGTGAATTTTTTTGCATTCAAAGATCATTCATCCGCCCACTTCGTCAAGATATTTTTCGTCTTCCTTAGATCATTCGCGGTTGTACCAGGGTGAAGTCCAAGTCGGTGCGAATATTCTTGTGGTCGAATCTTCCTTCCTCGCATTCCAGAACGATGTGGGTGTCTGTCTCTGGGGCTCCGCATTTGGGGCAGCTTTCGTCGATCGAAGGGTCTCGGGCATGTTGTCGACTCCTGGTGTTGAGCATTCCTGCTCTTGCAAGCGCCAAGAGTCGGCTGCCTCGCCTGTTGTCGTATATATTCCTCTCAAGACCCCTTTTGTCTTTGAATTGTCGATATATACGTAATGTGGTTTTGGTGACCATGTTCTGTCGCCATAAGTCATCCAGTTTTTTTCCGCACCCTTGCTTTGAGCTCTTTGCGAAATACGTTCCACATTTTTTGTCCGGATGTACTATTCGGGGGCTCGAGTTGCTCCAGGCCGAACTGCATTCTCAATTTTTTGAGTCTCTCTACTGCAGTTACCCTAGCTTTGGTCAACTCTATGGCAGTGAGGATACGTCTGGGCCAGCGTTTTTGGTCCATATGTTTCACGCTCTCGAAATACATCGTTTTGCTCGTGGCCTCTCTTGCCTCGAAAGAACTCCATCCGAGTTCGCCTTCGATAAACTCCTTCGAAATTGTGGAGTGTGGTATGCCAAGGGCCCACCTTCCCGCATCTCTCTGCCTGACTTCGATAAGGTTTCTCAGTCTCTTCGGCATAGTTATTGTTGCGTTGCAATAGGTGAGTTGCGGTACTGCCGTGGCTTTCCAGAGAATTTTGGATACTTCGAATCTATTGAAGCTCCATAACGTTCTCGCGTTGAGTCTTTGGATTGCCTTGTTCGCCGTCCAGGTTACCTTCTCCCAGTGTTGTGATAGGTAGTACCTTTCGGCCGATAACTCGATTCCCAGATATTTGTAGGATTCTACTTCTGGGATCTGCCTCCCCTGTATCGTGAGGCCCTGATCGTGCATATGTGTTGAGGGCGGTCGAGAGAAGACTATCACTCCGCTCTTCTGGGGATTGAATTTGATGGGCCGGTTGTCGCCAAACTTGGATGTTATCTCCAGAAGAGCTCTCATATCGCCGATCTTGTTTGCCATCAGACATAGGTCGTCAGCAAAGAGTAGTCCGGGGATCGTAAAGAATTTGTTCTCCTTTACATCCCAGAAATTGCTCTTTTTCGCAAATCTGAACCCCAGTCCCGTTTCCAGGAGCTGTTTTCCGAGGTCTGCGATGTATAGGCTGAAGAGGATGGGAGATAGGGGACACCCTTGCCGAAGTCCAATAGGGATGGATACTTCCTCCGAGGTGTACTCACCGTGTCGTACGAAGATAAAGGTTTCCTCGTACAGGTGTTTCAAGAGTTCGATTATTGACGGACTCATGCCTCTCTCCTCCAATGTTTGCCACAGTTTCCTTCGATCTATTCGATCGTATGCTTTTGTGGCGTCCAGAAACACGCAAATCAGGCCCGTCTTTTGTGCTCTTGCGATTTCTATCGCGGATGTTAGGATAAAAATGTTATCCTCGCCCCGGCGGTCTTTTCTGAACCCATTCTGCATCTCCGAGAGCTGTTCCGTATCTTCCGCCCATTGTTGTATGTGTTTCCCCAATATTCTTGTGAAAACTCTGTACAGGACGTCAGATACACAGATCGGTCTGTAAGTGGTGAGATCGCCCTTAA